GTGTGCATCAATTTATTTATTTACCGTCAAATCGAGTGATACAACATTCCAGCCAATCGGATGATCTTTTACAATGACACACCCACATAGCCTCTTCAGCTAACAAGTACTTGACAAACAGTCGAAATTTTTGTTTATAGAAAATTTCTAACTTCGGTTATGAACTGAATAAATATACATGGTGTCCATAAAGTTCATGTGCACTTTAAAAAATTATAACTTTATTTGTATTTGCGATAGAAATAATTTGTAAAAAAAGGATTAGAAATAAGTGAATCTATATTTTTTAAGGTTTTATTGAAATTTTATTTAAGTTTCCATATGTCCTCCATCATTAGCAATACAAATGGTAATACGATTTTGCAGTTCACTGAAAATATTTGCCAACTGATTTAGAGTAATGCCTGAAATCACATTAGTTATTTTAGCTATACTTAAAGCTAGGTACATTAAACTTTATAACATTGCTCTCCCTGTTTTCACTGTCTGGACAAGGGATTGAACTCACAAATAATATAACATTCACAAACCAACGCTTTAATCCAGTAGCCTATTGTTCTGTGAGATCTCTAAGTGTCCCCGTAGATTAAATAAAAGTTTCAGTTCGAAATTGCCTAAAGTTTAACTGGATCGACAAGCAGCTGGAAGGCACATTGGGTGAAACGTTGTGTTAAAAACAAGGAAGATAAAGATAATAGTTCATATGTCAGTAAAGGCGATAGAATGCCAGGAACTTGTGGAGAGCCGTGATCTGTCATGTCACAAGACAAGTGATGGATTTATAATTACTGTCACATTTTTACGATCATTTTAATTTCCTTGATTATCAATCTTGTTTTCATCAATTATAGATGTGCGTGTGGTGTAATGAATAACGGTTACGAATGAGAAATCGGAGAGCTGAGTTCGAATTCTAGTCAAGTTCTTCACATTCATTTAAGCGCAACTAACCGTAGGAAAGGTATGTATTCATCTCTTCTCTCCCAGTTAAATAGTAGAGGAGTTTGGGCTCTTCAGCCATGGCTGGTAACCAGTCTAGGAGAAGTACGATTCTTTATTAAAAACATTGTTACTCTGACAAAACATAGTACGCAGACGGTGAAGTTCACTTTGACCCTATGATTCTAATTGCAGTTGGATTTCTTATTTCGCTATATGCAAATAAATCAATAACATTGAGATAGAAAGATTGTGTACCGCCATTCACTTAAGGAAAAAAGAATTTGGCTCTATTAAAATCAGCATATGAACATTGCCATTTACCAGCTCTCAAACACGGACTGTTTATCTCAATAGACTGTCAACAAACTCCCCAGTTTGATCTTTTGATAGGCCGACTAATATCAAGTGATTTTCTAAGTGGCCATGGCGTACTATACTGCAGACCTGCTCATGGTGTAAACTGAGAAATAGAACTGGAGATCTATTGAAAAATATTTGATTTTTAGAAACGTTAGAAGATAATTATGTTAACTATTTTAAAAAATACTTAGTATAATATTGTGACCCATAAGTAAGGATAATAGGATGTTTTGAAACTTAAATAAAGCAAAATGTGTATTTTTCTTGTGGAAACTGATAAGTATTAATTAAAACAAAGATGTAGTTAAGATTTCTGGTAAAAAGATATGATCCACATAATTTTAAAAGAGAAACATCACCATTTACAGGTCTCACTGAAACATTTATTCAATCTACTCCTAGGGAATGCAAAAAGAATCAGGTTCAAATTTCTGTTAAAATTACTGGGTTTAACAAGCAGTACCTGAAGAAGACTGAAGGGCATCAGCCGAAACGTGTATATGACAATCATTCATCTCAGAAATAAAGACAGATAAAACAAAATCATTCTAGGAAAGTTTCAAAACATTTGAAGCTGGTTCATTTTCTGGATGTGCAATATTTGCAAAAGTTTTTCAAATGTATTTTGCAAAAATATGAGCTTGCTTTCTCTCCAGGTTGAAAAAATTGAAACTCAGAAATAAGCATAAAAATATAACTTAATGAATTATAACAAACCTTTTCCTTTATTCGATGGAAAAGGATGAAACAAAAAAAGTGACGATTAGCAAGTCTGGTCAGCAAGAAGCTTTAGGTTTCCACAGTCAATTGAATTAGTATATTTTCCATACTTTTCCTAATAAAATGGATTTCATTGTCACTGGGCTGATTATTATTTCTTGTAATATATCCAGCTATGTATACGAGAGCCATTTTTATTTCATCAGAAAGGGAAAGTTTATGAACTTTCCTCACAAAGATGCACATTGATGACCTGGCTTAACATCAAAAGCACCCATATTTACATTCTGATTTAAAAAGTAATCATGTCTGCTTAATAAGCAGTTTTTCAATGCACTGTTGGACATTTATAAAACACTTGCCATCTGATCCTTGACGAAATTTACTAAATTATTTTTCTAATGGATCAGTTATAAATTGCCCAAGTATCACATATTTATGGCATATAGCTAAAAGGTGTCAACATAGACTAAACAACTCCATTGCAAGTATGGTTTATGGTAGTACCAGTGTGTTTGGATAATTGTTTTATACGATTACTCTGACTGATAGCCATATTAAGAACCATTCGACCAAGCTCAATGATAAAATCAATTCGGAGATCTGGTTTCAGAGGGTCATTGCATAGTTTATCAATTTGAAGGGTCTTAACATTTAGAATTCTCCCCCATGTCAAAACCTTGTTTATGGAGATGACAGTGTTATGAATAATCAAGACTGGTTTCTCCTTCTCTTGTTACTCTTCTCTTTGAAAGAACTATTTCTTTTTACTGGGACTATAAAAGGACACTATACACGAACCTTGTATTCGCAAATAAAGCTTTCTTAAAGCCTACGCCTGCGTACTTTTGTAATTACAGACAGTATCATTCTTGTCCGCACTTATTTCAGACTGAATTCATTTTTTTTTCTTCTGAAAACGCTCTGAGGCAAGTAGAAACCCGTTTTCTTTCTATGGGTTTTGAAGCAATGAAAATTTCATTTAAATATGAAAGTTTAACTAGTCTTTCATAGTCAAAACGATATAATTGTTGAAGATATGCCCATTTTGCCACTTGTTTTACTCCATTATCATTAAACATTAATTTTCTTTTCTATGAGCCACAAATTGAGAATATTTTTCAACAAATGAACATAATCAAAAAGCAAATAATTGTTAATGTTTTCAGGGAGTGTGGGATATAATTTACAAAAACTTGATTTATTCGGCTGCCACCACATATAATTTGCAATCAGTTGATACAGAAGTAATTGCCTGGACTATTAATTCAATTTGTTCAAATAAAAAAGGTTGATGTGAATTTTGAAATTGGAATCAATCTTGTAACAAAGTTTGTATCCCCCCCATTACGACATATCAACATTATTCCAAGTACTGTTTGAACAAGTAGAGATGGATTGTCGATTGACTCACCAAATAGTTGTTTGACATGATACAGTAATATCTTCCTGATATATATATATCATCATGCACCATTTTGACTGGCATTAAGAGTATTAAATACAGATAGAAAAAAAAAGTTTTTTTTTTATTAAGTTGTGAATCCTTTGATTGCTTCATAACTTTCGTTTTTCCCCTAAATTTGAACTTAGCACTGGCCATTCTGATTGGTTGATTGGAATAAAAACAAAACAAGCTGCTATCTCCTCTCTTTTCTTTCCTACTCTTTTTCTTATTCTTCCTTTATTCTTCCTTTTTTCGGGATAAAGAGGTTGCATGTTGTTTTTAAATCTCAATATATTGTCTATTCACCAGTTATTTAGTGACACCTGATGGGGTGTGTTAATACATGTCGAAGCATGATTGCATTTGTGTAGCGTTTTTACATGTGTTTGATGCAATATCCTAAAATAAAGAATATTGCTCTAATTTTGTATTGAATCCTCTTAAATTAAATTTTACGAACGTCGGAATTGGATTCTATTCATTCTCATTTCATTCACACACACACACTCACACAAACACACACACACACACAAACACACACACACACACACACACACACACACACACACACTCACACACACACACACACACACACACACACACACACACACACACACACTCACACACACACACACACACACACACACACACACACACTGTGAGAGAGTGTGTGTGTGTGTAAAGGTTAATGTTCAGAGTTGAATCAGACCAGGGAACAGTAGTATTAATAAAGTGCTCAATACACGGTTTTTTCATGAAGTTGCCAATCTTTTGATGTCATCATTCTTAATGTTACTAATGATGGTAATTGCAAATCCTGTTATACAAAGAAGTAGTAGTCAAAAGCACGTATTACTACATCTGAGCTGTATTTCTTTACAACCATTTTGGGGGCCATTTCTGAAAAATGCTGACTCAAGATATCCTTCTTATGATCAAAAGCCATAGAATTAAAATATCGGATATTTTCTCTTAATGTTGTCAACCATATTTATACGGTTTTTGGACAGGCTGCTAATATAACACTTAACTTCATAATGAAAGGTTTCAAACCGCAAGTTTTTATAAATTTTCAAAATAAAGAGAAGGAAAATTTTCGAGGACTAAACAGTTAAAATAGTTTCAGCCAACAATGCTACAACTGGATTCGCAAAATCTTTTTTTTGTTGTTGCATAGACTTTCATTCAAATTTGTATAATTAATATTATCTAATTCTAAAATGGAATTTATTTCATCAATTAGATTTTGGAACGGTACTGGAGGGTGTTGTTATTTAGCTCTTTGTCACACCTGGCCATACACATGGCGGATTTTCGGGGTGCATTTTTCGATGAATTTCTATGGTATCAAAATTTGAAGGCTAATGTAGATGACAATTAAGAGTATTGTTTGTAAAATTCAGATTGGCATTTGGAACTATTTTTCCCCATCGCTCTCTCATTTTTGTCTTTTGGAAAATAATAAACAGATATTTTATTCATCTCGCCTACAGTTTTGCCTTTCTGGCTTCTGTAATTTATTTTGCAGACAATGACTCGGCACATATATCTATATCGATATCTATATGCCTATATCTATCTATCTATCTATCTATCTATCTATCTATCTATCTATCTATCTATCTATCGGCGGATATGCAATATAATTGGCCCTGTTCTGGCATCTCGTCTACAGTCACTTTCTCACAGACGCGCCGTCGCCTCCCTCTGTCTTTTTTACAAATACTTTCATGGCAATTGTTCCGAGGAGCTGCATTCGCTGGTTCCCGGACTCCATGAGTTCAAGCGCCCTACGAGGCTGGCATTCCGCTCTCACCCTTTCACTGTCGAAACTACTAAATGTAGCCGTCTCTTCTACTCCAATAGCTTCATGTCTCGCACCTCTCGCCTGTGGAACCCCCTTTCGTATTCCAGTTTCCCTGAGAGCTATAATCTCCAACTATTCAAATGTAATGTCAATTGACATCTCCAGTTGCCTTGATCTATCCACTATCCTTCTCTCCATACTTTCCTCTATCACTCCTATCTGATCTTGCTCCAAATCTTCTGTAACCCCTTGCGTCCTAGTGGCTTCCTGCCTTGCTTGGGGTGAAACGCTTAAAATATATATATATATATATATATATATATATATATATATATATATATATATATATATGTATACATATGCGGTTGGTGTAGTTTGGTATCCCCAAGCCGGAATCTAAATTCCTTTACATACAAGTAAAGGATTTGGTCATGAATAAACACCCATCGCGGCCCATTTATCCTTAGAGAGATAACTCAGGACCTCCCCTTGTCACCAACCCAGTCTCCTTATCTCCCCGATTGCTATCTAAACTAAATTCAAAGCCCTTGATTCCGAGGCAATCCGTCTAGGGCTGAAGAAGACTAGCATAATGTTATGACGGTTTGAAATAAATTATAACCACATGCCTTATGTCCATCATCTTTTCATGTTGACTTGAATATCGTCTAATGTTAATTATGTTTTATGAATATGTCCTGAAGATGGTCTACTAGACCGAAACGTCCGACGTTGACATTATATTAACATTAAAGCAGCATAATTGCATATTAGGATTTTTTTTTTTTTTCCGTATATTTTTCTTTCATATATATATATATATATATATATATATATATATATATATATATATATATATATATATATGTGTGTGTGTGTGTGTTTGTGTGTTTGTGTGTGTGTGTGTATATATATATATATATATACAGAGAGAGAGAGAGAGAAAGAAAGAAAGAAAGAAAGAGAGAGAGAGAGAGTGAGAGAGAGACTTTTAATTCACTCTATCTCTTCCTTTTATTTTTGGTTTGAGGCCTCATTTTTTTTTAACTAGACAAACCGGTGTTTCAACGTGATGCCAAATGTCTTATAGGCATATATATCTGGTTCGCCTGCGATCGAAGTTAAGCTACGTTGATCGTGGTCAATACCTAGATGAGTGACCGCTTGAGAATACCAGCTGCAGTAAGGTTGGGTTTGCTGGTAGAGTAATGGATAACGGCTTGGAATTGTTAATCGTGGAGCCGAGTTTCAATTCCAGTTGGTTTTGTTATATTCATTCATGCGCAAATATTCTTGGGAAATGTGGGAATCCGCTTTCCCCCAGCTATGGGTTAATTAATAAGACCTGTATCACTAAAGTTAGGAGGCGCGGATTGGGGAATCGGAGAGCCGAGTTCGAATTCCAGTCGAATTCATTATATTCACTTACGTGCTAATACCCTTGGGAAAGGTATGAATCCTCGTCTTCTTCCTCCAGCTACGGGTAAATAGCAGGAAAAAAAACGGGTTCTATAGACTTGGATGACAACTGGTCTACCGCAGAAAGAAATGGCAATCTACTACGGGAAAAAACATCTGCCTCGTCAGTTATGTATTGAAAGATACATGAACGCCTAGGCGTGTATCTCGCATGGCACATAACTGAATGGCTGATCACTAAACTCATTATTAAATCAAAAGATTCTTACAATCTAAAAATATTTTCTGGCTTTAAATAACCTGTTGATAAGTAGTAAAACCATACAGGTAGTAAATAGCATATCAAAACTCCGAGATCTGCTTAAACGATTCGGGAAGTGGAACGGACTGAAACAATATATACCTAAAATTAGTCCATTAATTTTAACTTGGTTGGCAAAATATTCCTTGAAATAATATCCAGATAAAACGGCCATTTTTTATGATTTACGAAACATTCTAACGCAAATAAAATAAATAAATAATAATAATAATAATAATCTGGTAAGTAAATTTTTGAAAGACACCATATTTAGAAAGTGACATCATTTTTAAATGGGATGTACGGGGGCGGGGGGCTCCAGAAGTTTCCTGTTTTAAAACGGAACGAAAAATATTTTCGATACTACCCAATAATATGTTCGATCCGAAAGGAAAGACTGAAATTACTCCGATTTGATGGCATCGGTTTACGCTTGTAACAATCAATAAAATTCGGAAAAAGTATTTTTCTTATTTCTTTTGAAAAAAAGAATCTTCCTTAGATCAGCAAACTTAAGGTTTCAAACAATTGATTGGTTCCTCACTCCATGCGAGGTCTCAGCTCAGAACAAACGTTATTTTCAGAGTTAATAAAAAGCAGATTTAATTAGAAATCTTCCAGAGATATTTCTTCCAAAAAATATTTCTATTTTCTTACCATTTGATTTTTGTACTCATCTGATATTCAACATTTTTTTGTTCACTATCAAACTCTTATTTTACTCCACCTTTGTTCCTCGCTGAATTTTGACTGTTATCTTTTGAATTTAGCGTTTTGGTATTTCTTCGTTTGATTCTTTTATTTTGAATTTAATATTTTGTTGCCAGCGAAATAGTTTACAGCATTAAGAATAGAATCATACTTCTTTTTTCTTCATTTTCATTTATTTAATTATCTTCCCCTTTTCAGAAATGCCCTTCTTGTTTTAATATGCTATCATTATTGCTTTTTTAACCGTTTCTTTTTTTTCAAACTATTTTCTGATTTTTATATTTTTAATTTGAATTGCTTGTCTTACGTTTTTCTATTAATTTTTCCTTTGATTTCCTTTATACTACTTCTATTTTCAATAATTTCTGTCTTTTATTATGCCTTTTCATTTTTTCTTTCTCTCTTTCTTTTCTTCTTTCTTTCTCGAGTCTGTTTACTTTGCTGTTCTTTCTCTCTTTCTTGATTTCCTTCTTTCTTTCTCGTGCATGTTTACTTTACAGTTCTTTCTTTCTTTCTTTCTTTCTTTCTTTCTTTCTTTCTTTCTTTCTTTCTTTCTTTCTTTTTCTACTTATTCCCTGCTCCTGATCTTTTCATTATTGTACACTCTTTTGATTTTCCTTTCTTTCTTTTTCTTTCTGTACCAATCCAGTTCTTTCCGATATATCCGCTTTTTATTTGTCTACATTCTTTCTTTCTTTCTTTCTTTCTTTCTTTCTTTCTTTCTTTCTTTCTTTCTTTCTTTTGCTTGCTTATTCTATTCTATCTTACTTTTACTTTCTTTTTTCTCCGTCTTTCTTGTTCTTTCCATTATTTATTTCCTTTCTTTCTTTCTTTCTTTCTTTCTTTCTTTCTTTCTTTCTTTCTTTCTGCCTGTTTACATTACATTTCTTTCGGTTTCATTTTTCAGTTCTTTTTTCTTTCTTTCTTCATTCTTACCTTTCAGTTTTGTTTTTTTCATTTTTAATTCTTCCTTTTTTATTTCTTCGTCATTTTAAATTGTTATTTTTCTATTTTCATTTACTTCTTTTTATTTTTTTATTTTTATCGATTCTGACTGTCTATTTTTCTTTTCTGTCTTTTTCTTTGTTATTGTTTGCTTTTTAATTCTTTCTTTCTGTCTTTCTTTCTTTCTGTCTTTCTTTCTTTCTTTATTTCTTTCTTTCAATGGTTCCTCTTTTCATTTTCATTTTTTCATCTGTCTTTGAATTCGTCCTTTCAAAAAACGAAAGAAACTTTTGCACTGCCCAAAGGAACACTTGAGAATCGGGAGAAATGAAACAGAAAATTAATATATATATATATATATATATATATATATATATATATATATATATATATGTGTGTGTGTGTGTGTGTGTGTGTGTGTGTGTGTGTATAGATAGATAGATAGATAGATAGATAGATAGATAGATAGATAGATAGATTATACAGAAAAAATCCAAAATAACCTTATGTGGGTATAGTTTATTTCAAACCGGCACAATCTTATGCAAACTTCTTCAGCCCTAGACTGACTGCCTCAGAATCAGGGGCTTTGAATTTAGTTTAGATACCAGTCGGGGAAATAAGGAGCCTAGATTGGTAACAGTTGGAGGGCGTGAGGTATCTCTCTAAGGATAGATGGGCCGGGATTGGTGTTTATTTATGTGCAAAGTCTTTACTTGTATGTAAATGAAATTAGATTTCAACTAGGGGATATCAAACTATATCAACCGCATATATGTTTTGATAGGATAAAAATAAATTGTATTTAGACAATAAGGATTATATATATATTATATATATATATATATATATATATATATATATATATATATATATATAGAGAGAGAGAGAGAGAGAGATAGATAGATAGATAGATAGATAGATAGATAGATAGATAGATAGGATTTTATATTATTAAATGGTAGGTGAATTAAAGACAAAACAATATAGAAGAGATTATCTAAATAATAGATTCCCAAAATCTGCAAGTATTACCGAAAAACCCAATGGAATAAATCATGCTGTACAACGCATAATATACCAACATACATACATACATACATACATACATACATACACATACACATACATATATGTACCTACACTCACACACACACACAAATATATACATATATATGAAAATTTCTCTGATTTAACCAGTAGAGAAGACAATATTTATGAATAAATTTTTCTATTGTCATTTTTATTCATATATATATATATATATATATATATATATATATATATATATATACCATCCATTTACTATTTGCACAATTAAGGCTCGGTTAAATTATTAGGAATACAAAGCTTAAGAGGAAGATATTAAAGTAAACATTTAATGAAAGGGTGTGGCATCAGTTGTGGGGCTGTTGTTTTTTTTGGAGGTAGTAAATAGACACAGAGGTCAACACCAAGCTGCAAGAGTCTGTTTGAAGTTTCGAAAATATTTATTTACGTATGTATGTGTTTTGAAAAATTGAAAACACTATATAAATACATACATGCAACAAGCTATTTCTTATTTAACAGTTAAAATATTTAATCCTTGCAAAGCGCTCGGATAAAAAGAACATTAGGAAAGTTTTTATATAATTTATCATCTTAAAAGAAAAAGAAATAGATCGCATGATAAATTGTATTAAAAAAAACTAAGTAAAAGCAATTTGTCTGTCGAATTCAATGAAATGTCCATGAAAGAAGGATTGCTGCATAAATAAATATATATATATATATATATATATATATATATATATATATATATATATATATATATATCGAGAGAGAGATTTGAATTAGCGGTTAATTGTAAACATATCATACCTTTGATTGTACACTCTTGCAAGACTTTGAAATTTGACAATTGCTTCTTCTTATATTTTAGTTAAAGCTTGTTGCACCATGTAAGCCTTTTATTTTTCAGTAAGATGAATTCCCCCCTTAATTTGAACAGCGTATGCCATTCCGATTGGTTGATCGGAATAAAAACAAAACAAACACTGTTACTATCTCCTCTCATTTCTTTCCTACTCTTTTACTTATTCTTCCTTTTTTCGGGATAATGAGGTTATATGTTGTTTTTAAATCTCAATAAATTGTCTACTCACCAGTTATTTAGTGACACCTGATGAGGTGTGTTTATACATGTCGAAGCATGATTGCATTTGTGTAGCGTTTTTACATGTTTTTGATGCAATATCCTAAAATAAAGAATATTGCTCTAATTTTGTATTGAATCCTCTTTTAAATTAAATGTTACGAACGTCGGAATTGGATTCTATTCATTCTCATTTCACACACACATACACACACAAACAAACAAACACACACACACACACACACACATATATATATATATATATGTGTGTGTGTGTGTAAAGGTTAATGTTCAGAGTTGAATCAGACCAGGTAACAGTAGTATTAATAAAGTGCTCAATACACGTGAGAAAAAATATAAGCAAAAATTAAAATAACATGTAGAGCTCTTAAGTTTAAAAATCCGGAGGTTAATTAAAATACGCAACGATGGTTTTAACCTGACGAAAAAATTTATAACATTTATACCCGCATTTGCAAACTATGCCAATATGAGAAATTAGCAGTTATGACATTCACGGACCCCAAAAATCTTTTAAACCAAAAATCAGAAAATTTAAGCCCTTGCCCTCATATAAAAAATACTAAGTGAATACGAAGCCGGTTGAAAAATATCTAAAATGTTACCCTTTAGACATGCGGCCCACCACATCATCCATCGCTACATATTTGCTTTCCGTTTCACCGTATACATTTACAATACACTTGCATTTCATTTCCTTCCTTTTCCTTTCTTTCCTTCACCTCCTTTTCCTCTTCCCTTCCAATTACACCCAATGTCTTGCCTTTTAATCATCATACGCCTGTTATTTTTTTGAAAGATAATTATGTAGCATTCCTTGTGTGTTTTTTTTTAATAAAGCGTTAAAGTGGTCATAAAAGTATCGCCGGAAGAGACCGTCAGGTCGAAACCGTAGTCGCGTATTTTAATTGACCTCCTTATTTTTAAACTATATATATATATATATATATATATATATATATAGTTTTTTCGGTCAAATCATGTTATAAGATTAATTCTGTTTCAATTACTATTGAGCCTGATCAATACAAAGAGGAATAATCGATTGGGAACATCATGGGCTGTAATCTTGGATGTGCGTGAGGTGTATTGGCAATCTGCTCAGAATTAGAAATCGGAAAGCCGAATTCGAATTACAGTTGTATTTTGAATTTCGTTATAGTCATTTACTCATTCGATAACAGGTATGAATCTCACCCTTCTCCCCCCACTTAGCTAAGTAGGTAAATAGCAGGACACACACACACGCACACACACACACACTCATATATATATATATGTATATATATATATATACTCGTTTCGAAAAAATCTCGAATTTTTGATTTGCCAATAATTAAATCAATCTTGAGGGAAAAAAAGGTTTTAAAAAAAGAAAGAGCTACAAACATAGAAGTCTGTCGAAAAAAATCGCACAGGTTTGAAGCCCAAAGAAAAAAACCCGATACGAAAAACAACTAACTAACAAAAGAGCTCAATACAACCGTAGAGCAGACCTAGATAAACTTTTTAGTTTAGGTGAAACCTAGGTAGGTTGTCTGGCTCACTAGGTTTGTTTATCTATCTATCTATCAATCTATCTATCTATCTATCTATCTATATATATATATATATATATATATATATACACACACAATGGGGGAAAACAAATATCCGTACACACACAAATTTTTAATTTATTGTATTTCTAAAGAATATACATACTTTTCATATAAATAACAGTACACAGATGAAAAATAAAAAAATATGCATGGGAAACAAAAAAATGATTTAATAGAAATAAATCCAATCTATCTATTTTAATGGGGGAAAGAAGTATTTGTACACTTCATATTTTAAAACGTTTAAATTGCTTTAATTCTCTAGATTATTCAACTGGAATATTCTAGAATGTTCCAACAATGTTATCAGTGGTTATTTTTAGCCCCAAAATTACCAACAGGATATTATTTAATTGATATTTGTGCAAGAAGGTTATCATCACGGCAAGAGATAAAGAATTGACAAATTCGCCAAAGTAACTGATTGTTAAACTTTGGAAAGAAGGTAAAAGTTACAGGAAAATCTCAGACAACTTGTATCTTCTATTTATCTCCGGGAATTCATTCAATGCAAGGTATATTAAAGTCAAAACTTTTGAAAACCCAAGAAAAACAGGTACACGATAGAAGATTTCTTCAAGATCTTTGAAGAAATTATTATCAAATTTAATGATTTCGGTTGAAAATAAAGATAATGATCATACACACACTGCACAATCTACAAAGAAATGGCTTTCTGAAAATAATATAAATCTCTTGAAATTGCCAAGTCAATTTACAGATTTAAACCCAATCAAGAACCTGTCGCTTTATTTTAAAATTCAAATCCAATCGAGAGCTCCAACATCCCGAATTTGAAGACCATATGCGAAGAAGATTGGAATAAAAGTAAAATGTGCAAATCCTTAATTGAGAACAAGAAGAAAAGGTTGTTTGCCGTAGAAGTGAATAATGGCTCTTCTACAAAATATTAAATAAAGGTTATGTATTCTTTTTTATACGAATAATTTTTTCATCCATTTAAATGGATAAATGGAATATATTTACATCAGTTTCCATCAAATTCTTTTCTGTTTTCTATGCATATTTAGTTATGCCTCTGCGTACAGTCAGTCGTATGAAAAGTATGTTTATCCATTAGTTGGAAATAGAATAAATCAAAAATTTTATGTATACGAATATTTGTTTCTTTTACTTTGTGGGTATATATATATATATATATATATAT